TCTAGAATATTCTATGTATATAATAGTTAATCTCTTAAAAGGTTTCTCCCACACTTAATTGGCCCTTTCCTTCATTAGTGTTTTGACCTTCTAAATTTTTTTTTAACTGAACAAATCTCCTGATCATCTCCAGATACTACTGTTTAGTTTGCACCACTAAGCAGTCTCGGAGTACAGGAACTGCTTTATTTCAGCATGAACTTAAACCAGAAGAGTATACCTAACGCACTGCAATCACTAACGAGCATTCAGTCCACAAGGCCAAGCTACGGCTAGTCCAAAGCAAAGCTTCCATAAATTTTATTGGGTGGGCACTGGCTCCTCGGCATCAACTGTTTCACTCCACAGATCTGCTTCTACTGAACTACCCCACTAGTTAAGGTAGTGACAACCTGACACTCCAACATGTTTTACACTCTAAGCAAGACATAATTTACATCTAGCATTCTGCATATTTTGGCAAGTAAATAAAATATTTTAGCATATTATCTTAATGCATTGATTTACATTTACTCTAACAGTTTTAAATTATACAACCATAACAAAATAATTGATTAGCATAATCTTCCTGTGGATTTATTTACGTTAAACTCTTAATTTTATATAGCTGAAAAAATAATTGAGAACCTTGATCTACAAGTCTCCTTAAGAATGCTCCGTTTTCTTTGCCACATGCCTCTAGGTTTTCTCCCAAGTGAATACTTGTCCACTGCTTTAAAGTTTCTCTCGCTTAAATAATCAAAAGCCACTCAGCTGACTGAGCAAAAGAAAAAGTCAGAACTCCAAGACTATTTATGTTAAAAATAGTACTGAAATAACTAGCAAAATTTTAAGTGTTTTACCAGTTCACATCTCTCAGGAAAACCCACAAAGAGTTATATAAAAGTAGCATTAAGGAACAGTTTACTTTTCAAATGGGAGATAAGGGCCACACACAACAAGACCTAACACAATAGATATCCCAGCATGTTTTCTATCGTAAGACCACCAAACTTTCAAATCAATCTTCAAGTAACAGAAAAGACCAAAGATGAATGTTTTTAAGTCATCTATTTCTGTTGCAAAAAGACCTATACTACTGAGGAAATAGATTTTGTTTCTGAAGTTTCAGAATAAATAAGATTATTTCAGATTCAACTTTAGAAAGGAGAGAACATTTACATAAAACTTGCATAAGAAGACTAACCTAAATACCCACCCTACATAAGACTCACATAAGAAGTAAGAATATACCTATCAACTACAACTCAAAATCTATCAGCTATAACTCATTTTGTATAGATATAATTGCAATTGACTTTCTTTAATTTGGCTTCAAGCACTAAAAGCATAAACGAAAGAACTCTCCATGGATATTATATACTTTTCTAAATTAAATACTTGAAGTCCGAATTATGACTTCACAGGAAAACTCTCTCCAGAATTCATGAAATTTGGAAAAATCACCCACTGTAGAATGGCTACCATAACTGGATGCCTCTAGAGCGATCAGCCAGTTATCTCCAAATGTTGAGATACACAGACGTCTGTAAAACTGAGTGCCCTCAAAAAACAGTCATCTGTAAAGAAGCTGTCAAGAGGAAAGGTAAATCCACACTAATATCCGGGCAATAGCACAACACCTTTCCCTGTTTTTTTCTTTCAGTGGTATTTGTCTAAGACTATGAATCCATGATTTCTCCCTGATGATTTTTACCCGTGAGCCCTTAGAATATGGCATAGTGTATTATTTCTATCATGCCATACCCGGCATGACATGTTAACTCAATGTCAAGAGGACTGAAAAGAAGGCTGAAAGGAGAAGAATGGTTCAAGATCATTCAACCTTCAAGTATACAATCACACATTGAAAATTATTACAGTATTATGGCATAATACTATTCTCAAAGGCCTTGCTTTTATTGCAGTATTATGGTATAGTAATTTTCTCAAATGACTTGCTTTCAACCTCTTCCTATGCCTAAAGGACTGACTGTGATTAGAAGGGTTAGCTTCAGTGAATATGGACAGACAAAAGAACTATAGTACAGTTTAAATAGACCCTTTCTCAACAGGAGACATAAATGTTTAGGGACACAACTGAAACACCCAAGCACTTAAAAATGTAAATAAATAGCCCAGGTTTCCATCACACTGAAAATTTCAGGTAATACATAGATGTGTATGTACAGTTTTCTTTCTAAAAGCTTTGCTCTTGAAAAAGAAAAAAAAATGCTTGGTTTAAGGCTGTTTTGTCATTGCACACGGTTGGTACAACGGTGTACCAAAAAAAAGAGAAATTGTCAGTCTCCAGATTCAGTCAGATCTCCCAGATCTGACTATTTGTCAGGTCTGGCTGATAGACAGAGTACTGCCGATCTAAAAGTAAAACAACTGCCTAATTCTTTAACAGGAGAGGTAAAGGTGCAAAATCTTACTTCACAGAATGAGGAATTCTGATCTATCACAAAGTCAAGAGAGCTAGATATGTAATTATGACAAAAATAATTAAGTTCCTAGGAATGACACAACATGGACATACTGTCCTTTGAGTTGACACCTCCTGTCACTTTCTAACAGGATTTATGTGATTTGAATTCACTTTGTAAAAAACTTGAAAGGATAATACGATCCTATGCCATTTTTAGATACTATAAAGTTGAAAAAGTAGTAAAATGTATTATTAAACAACTGCCTGTGAAAAGCTCACTTAAAAATTGTGGTTTATATGACTGGAAAAAAAGCCATTTTGCATTTAAACAGCTGAATTTATTTAAATAAAGTCAAAAATTAACAAAAATTTGCCAGACTATTTCAGACCAAGTTTAGCCCAAAATGAATTTTTATAGCTGCATTAAAAATTCCAGAAAACGGCTTGGAGCTATTGTAATGGAATTGCTGACAAGCTATTTTCCACTATGTAAATTACATTTAAACTGTAACGATCCCAAATTCTATAAGCATTGCTGTAAAATCACACCAGATAGGAATTCTTAAAAATTGTTTTTTATCTGTAACTGGTAACACTGGCAAATGCATGAGTTGAGCATCCAGAATGAATAAGTACTAAACTTAACCCACAGAATTAAATGCCACATTAATTTCAAATGTTTTTATTTAGTTCATACTATATTTAAAAAAAATGAAGAAAACACATTTGCAAACTATTACCATGACACATTCTTTATGCCTGCTTCAGGTTTCTTAGGTGTTGTTCATAAGACATACAACACTATATAAGATCGGATTTTTACAGCCTGATGATTGGAACCTTTAAAAATGTATCAAATGAAGAAACCTGCATTATTCTTTATGATTACTACAATTACAAGTTTAATGAAACTTATTATTAATGAGAGAGTTAAAACTTCAAAGAGACATACTGAAAAAAATCCAGAACACTTTTATCTAAGAAAAATCAGAAAGTCCTTGTCCATCAAAGTAAATGATAAATAGAATCCTAAAGCAATGTCAAGCTACATGCTCTGTGCATACTAAAAATTATCATCACCTTGAACTGCACATTTTTAGGCCTAATGCAGAGTGTCTACAGTCAATCAAGAAGTACCTCAGTAAACTCTTCTGTAGTCTGGACAGAACTACTAGTATTGCTGGGTAAATCAACTACTCCAGATTTTGGTGTCAAGAAACATTCTGAAATAATGCAATAAACAATTTGAGAGCATTTACATGAGATATGCTTCCACTGCCAAAAAGTACTTCAAAAAAGAAAGGAGAGAGAAAATTGAAGGGAGAAAATAACCACATACTTTGAGTACTAGCGTAATACCTCAGTATTTTTTCAGCACCTCTGAAAAGCCTGTTCCCAGCTCTTATTCCCATGAAGCCAACCGATAGCTAGATATACTGTCTAACCCCTGACTACTTTACCCTACTGAAACCAAAATGGAAGAAAGTAATTTTCATAGCAGAAGAAAGAAGTTTGACAGTATCTTCAGAAGAACAACAAAATTCTAGTCAGATAATAGACTGATTAAAACTATCACTGTTCTCACTTCCACGTTATTCTTTTCTCACCTCATCTCTAGGGTCAAGAAATTGAACAAGACCCTTAATCTCACTTTCTTTTTCAGCTTGCACAGATGAGGAGTTTGTGGTCACCTCTACTTGTAAGAAATTCCCTTGCTGATCTACATATAGTGCAGTTACACTGCAGAGGACAACTTTGGGCGATGGCAATTAGCTCTGAAAATAGCCATTTGCTATTACAGAAAAGATTTTTTTAGTTAATTTTTTACTTTTCATTGACAGAAGACTGAGGATATCAGTTAATACACAAATGATCAAAGCCAAAAGTCTAACTCAGCCCTCTTTCCCATGTTAGGAGCAGAAAATTGGAAGAACACTTAGTCTCTGAGGTAAGAAATATACTCTATAATAATAGATAACAATTTCAGCTCCAGGTAAAGTAACAGAGAGGAATGCTAGAATAGCCTAGAAAAATCATGAGTATTTTAAAATTGTCTTCATTTCCCCATGCAAGAACTAACCGTTAGATCCGTTTCCTCTTGGTCATAACATTTTTTGCGTTCTCAGAATTTACTATAAATGTTACCTAGCATCTACATTAATACTGCAGCAAATCAATGTGGAAAATTATTTCTGTTACTAAAAAGGTTGTTAAAAAATGCAAGTCGAAAAATAAGAGAAGTGTTAACAGCTCTAAAAATGACTAGGTTATCACAAATATTTTAAATGGTTGCAATTAATATTTCTTTCCGGACTGTAATATTACAGTCCGGCCCAAGTAAGACAAAGAATAATCTATACTGCCCTAATGACAGAGCTGTTCAGTCAGTTCTCACTGCTCCCTGCTTTCCACTAGAGAAATACTGAGATCTTGTCTGGAAAGGTGCCTTTATCACACAAACTTATGACTTTGTCCATCCTCCCCAACATATAAACTCTATTGATTAGTGACAATTACATCTTAAGTCTGCAGTTCCTTTGTTGATAGTCAGAGTCATAGTGGTGCTATAAATATTCAGTAAAATATATACCTTATTTTGGCAGATCTGATGGACTGATCTAGAATGAACCGCTGGTATTACTGCTGTGCTGCAGCCTGCATTGAGGTCAAAAACTTCCAGTGCTCGGTTGCTACCAGCTGTAAGTACAATATCTGTAAAGTTCTCTGCGTTAAAGTAAAACTGATCTAAAGGAACAGGGAGAATATAGATATAAAGAAAGACAAATATATAGGTCTCTTTTGTGCTTAGTGTTCTATGAGCAGCATCAAAAAACTTACAATCCTATTTAATTTGCCATAGGATACAGGAGTAGAAATCATTTACTGTTGAAAGGCTGGTGATCTCCATTGTGGAAGCCATGGGAAATTTCTGTATCAATTTGCAAACACTTCTCTGTTTATATCTGCAAAAAATATCAAATGAATGCTAGTGTTAATAATAAGTTACAATTTGTAATCATCAGTAAATGCACATTGGGATCATTAAGCAAACTGAAATTTTTTCTTATTAGAAATTAAAGCCATAGACATTTTGATTTGTTGCTGAACTCTATAAAAAAACTGGTAAGAACTCATTCAGATGAAAAGAAATGGGATATTCATATATATAAGACAGATCTTCTATCACCATAAAACACTCAAATAATCCTGCCTGCATCTTGAAAAAGTTGGACAGAAAGAAATTTTTAAAGTACCTATGATCAAAAAATAGAAATACCACTGATTTTAGCACAGCATGTCATGTGCTGATTAGAGGAGAATGAAGAAAGATAATGAGCAGAAAATAGTGAGGAAAGAATAATTTCCACTTAGGTGGGAATGGAACAAGGGGCTGATCACACACTACTGAGCAATTAGGCCTCTCAGCTTGCACTAAACTCCCCTAGGTTCTGTGGCATATCTGCCAGCTCCATGGACATGTTGTAGATACTCCAAACCTACAAAAAAGCTTTCAGAATGGCTTTAAACTTATTTGTATCACACAATGCAGAACCGTGTTTGTGATTCAGTCTGATTTGATCCTTCTATTTACTGAGATATAACAGCACAAACAATAAGGACATGATCTTAAACCCATGGAAGTCAAAAGAAAAACTCTCTCCAAGTTCAATGTTTTGACTCAAGCCAAATCTGACCAATAAGTATTAATATAATTTAGGATAAGCTTAAATGGCTTATAAGACTATGTGAAGTATATGTGTATGTTGGACAAGAAGAGTATGGTTTCCTTAGCAGAAATGATCAAAGGAATATAAACAGAGTCGTTAATAACCTCAAAATTTCTACATTGTACATTAAATGCAGACACTTCCAAACATTAAAATAATCCCAATATAACTGTAAGTAGTATCCTACTATTTTAGCACATATTTCTAAAAACAAAATAGATATATATATGATGCACTATTATCAGAGTAATTATCGTTCCTTTCCATCACTGCCAACAGTTTCAAAAATGAGGAATTTTAGTCTATTTAAGATCTTCTACTTTTTGGACAGAAAGTTTTTACCACATATTTACCAGACACATTCAATTCAAAGTGTAAGTCAGCTAAAGTTAAGCCAGGTACAGTGGACTCACTGAGCTGGACACTGTATACATTGGTAAGAAGAATGTTCTTACGTATTAGAGGTTACAGTTTATATAACAAACTTTTGCTAACCTTTCATTGTTCTAATAACACCTGCATAAACTAAGAATAAAGAGGCAACATAAAGAAGTAGATAATCTCACATTGTGGAAAGAAGGTATTACATACTTTAAACAGACCCAATATGAAAGCTTAAATATCATTCATTTGTAATATGTAAGAATAGATTATCAAGGTAAAATCGCAAAGAGCACATAAAGAGAAAGGTTTTTAGACTGTTGAAAGAAATTACAGCTATCAGTCAGAAAGCACATTTAACCATAACTGTTAATGTTTTCCCTGCAGATCACCGACACGAACTCATTTCTATGCATATAATAGGGGTTGCTTTGTAAGCAAGACAAAGGAGATAATAATGAAGAAGGTAAGAAATCTTCCAAAGGAAATAAAAAAGATTTTATTTTTCCATGAATTCATGAAATGAATTCTGAAAATAAATACAATAAGGATAAAGAACTCTATCCCATGTCAGGCCAGTTTCCAGAGATAAATTTTGCAGTTTGCCTCTAGCAGAACTAATTCCCTTCTTGCAGGATTTCCAATACAAATGCACTGTGAAAGACAGTTAGGAAGTTGTTTTCAACGATTACAAAACACTATGACAAGCCCTAAAAAATGTGTCACAGATGAGGATCAAGAGTGGGAAGCATGAATAGGCCAAATTCCAGCTCTCCAGTCAACTGGGGAGGCTATTATAATATAAACAGGCCCTAAAATTGTCTGAATTAGACAAACATCTCCTCAAGCCATGGCAATTCTTGTAATTGGGACAAAAAAATGGCTGAAAAGAATCTTACCACTAGTTCTATCCCAGACCTTCCCAGATCTCCAATTCTATGCATAGCATGTAATCTCAGGTCACAATCCTATATATCAGGTATCCAAATAAAACCACATTTGTCTTCACATATTCAAAACTACACTTCTGCCTCCCTTGAATGTCTTCAATTATAATTCTGCTACCATGACTGCTAAACAACTAATCTGCAAAGCCCATGTTTTGGGCATGTAATCATTTTGGGAGAATACATTTACAGTACATAGTTATTTTCAGGAGACTGATATACCTTCAGAAACAATAGGTAAAATTGGATTCTAAGATACGAACATTTCCTGCAATGATTGCAGTGGCTGATATGTCTACTTTCTAGGAGGTTTGAAGTCCTTCACTGAAAGAATCTTTCTGAAGACCCAGAGATAAAGTAGTAACATTTTCATGACAGACAAGAAAACTTGCAGAATATATGTCTATGATAAATACACAAGAAGAATAGGGACCCAAGGAAAAAAATACAGCTTGATGTAAATCTGACATTTGAAGTTTTAAGGAAAACAGCAGCATGCAACATCAAAGCTAAAACTAAGGGATAGACCAAACACCATCCAAACACCATCAGCATAAAAAATCATGAGGTTTCAGGCTATGAAAAAGATTTTTATATGTGCTGTAAAAATTTATCTTGAGCAACAATTCCATTATACCTTTACAGATACAGCCCTGAGCTCAGTAAAGTAAGAAAATTAGTTACACAAAAGGGAAAAAAAAATTTTCTATTTTCTAGAAGGTTTGGAATTTGTCATAACTGCAAAATATTATCTCCTACACTATGGAGGAGGATGGATTTCATTCACTGACTCAGTGCAATGAATCTTAGAAATAACAAAGGAAATGCATGGGCAAATTTAAAGCATTTAGAGATGGTAACTGTTTCTAACATTGTTAGAATTCATCTTATGATTTAGGTACTTCTCACCTAGTTCTCATTCTGTTTCTGATTTTAAAAAAAAAGTGTGTTTAAGCTTTTTGAACGAATAGCGAAAGGCCACAGGAAACAAGCTTACAATATTCTTAGTATCATAACGCTGAATCAGGCCTGTGGAGTCCATTTACTTCTGAAGTTTAAATTGGCTTAAGTGGTTTACATTAAAATAACGATTGTGTAAACATTAATGCTTTGGAAGTACCTGCAATGAACAGTCTCCTATTTAGCGCACTAAATTTTAAGCCTGCTAACCATGGTCTCTTCATTATCCACCTATAACATGTGTTGGTATAGATTCACATTTCATCAGAGTAGACATTTTAGCACTATTTCCCATACTGTACGTGTGTATAATTATTACAACGTGTTGCTAAACATAATGGCTTTAAAAGGTAATGTTTCTGTTCCTAAAGCACTGCTTCTCCATTTTAAACTCCTTTCATATTGCTCATTCTGATCTTTAAAACAAAACATCAAGCTGACTATAAAAATGGCATAAAAATCCATGGATGTTTTGTCGTCCTCAAATTCTGATGTGATTTAAAGGTAATTAAGAACTGGAGGGGAAAAAAAATTAGTAGCAAACAGTTATATTTCATATCTGCATGTGCAACTGCTGATGAAAACAGTGGAAATTTAATAGTTAGTAATTCTGAAGAATGTAAAGAAAATTGTTTAGAGAGTGAATCATTTTGAGATTAATCACAGGCTCAGGAGTCAGGAGATCTGGATTCTATTGCCAGAACTGCAACAAATATTGAAGTTCAAACATTTGAAAATAACATTTTTTTTCTTATTTCCACTTCTCAACTCCACATTTGAAAAGGAACCAACATTTAACCATTTCTTTAAGTTGTTGTGACATTTAGCTAATTTATACTTATGGAGAGCTCTTTGAAAACTCTGCACAGAGAAGTACTGATATTGTCATTGTATTGTTTTCACCTCTGAAATACAGTGACAATTCATTGGTTAACCAGACTGCTTTGCCATGCTCTTCTAATTAAGGGAATAAAGCATTCTTTTTCGTTCAATCTAGCATCTTCTTGAATCAGTTCCATTCAAGTATTCTTCCAAACTTGACTCAGAATGCAGAATGAAAGAGTTGTGAGAAACAAAAGGAATGATGCAGTGTTTCATAAAAGAAAGAAATGCTGGGAAACAAACTGGAGGGAAGCCACAAGAAAATGTCAAAGCAAATTAACTTTTTGTTAATACCTTTTTTTTAATATAACCAAGCTTCAGACTTGGTTGAAGATCTGTTGTAATGTCTACAATTACACATGTGGTCTTTTGGCATTATATTAGTATTTCAGAGAGTCTAATGGCATGTTTTTGAGTTGTTGTTGATCCATCAAGGAATACTGAGAGTATGACAAAAATACTGCCATAAGCACAACCCTATGTAGATACTTGAAGAGCTTTAAACTAGCAGAACACATACTTCCAAAAAACTAGTAGGAGCAACACAAACCAAAGTATAAGCTCAGTGCCGAAGACCTTGCAGAACTGCTTGGATGGGTTCTACAATTACACCAAGTTGTAGTATCTGAACTAACTACCTTCCAGCTAGTTCAGGCAAGTCTTCTGCAACAGTAAGTGCAGTATGCATGTTCTTCCAGTTACTGGATACCTGTGCCTCCTAGAGAAAAGCATTTGTATAAAAATATAGAGATATCTAAAGCTAGTACAATATATATATATCCCCCAAGAAGAATTTGTTATCAAAGCCTAAGCCCCCAAAAATAGAATGAAAGAAATATTTTAACTAAATATTTTTAACTAAATTTTAAAATGGAAAAATAATCAGCAGAAGAGGGATCTAAAAGATCAGAATATTAATTTCTGTCTTCTTTTTTCTAAGTTCCACTGGGATTGCCTTTATTTGTAAGCTAAGGATGATAAGAAATAAACATTTTCTTGCCTCAGTTTCCCACAATTATTTGCTTATGCTATGGATGATTCCAAGCATAACTGGAATCAAAATCACCTTTCCTGCCTCCTAGCTTCCTGCTATACTTTGTACACTTTGTAGCCTTTTCTACAGGGTAAACACTTTGGAACAAGATATCTGTAGAACCTGTCAACAGAAAGTCAAGGGAAAAAATCAGTCTTTCCAAAGGAGATTGTGTATTTATTCCATTATTTGCTTTTCATTTTATTCTTAGTTTTACCTTTCTAATGTAATGTATATACTATAAAATCAAAGCAGGCAATTCTGCACTCCTTAGCACATAGTTTTTCACTCTATTAGCTATACTCCCCTTCCAAAGAGAAGAGATGACTAAAATCATGTAAGTAAGAGCCACAGTTATCCACTCCATTGAGGATTTTGACCAGAAATGAAGATTAAGGAACTGCTTGCCAGGGGGTTAACTGTAAAACCAAGCAGGTGAGTGGGTCTTGAAAACCACAATTAATTCACTACTTTGAACAATTCATAATCAGAAGTTAGATTAGATGATCATAATAATATGTTAGGTACTTTTTCAAATAGGAGGAAGCTTCTATTATTAAAAAAAGCATATCTTACAAAGGTGATGCAACTTGGCAGTTTTCTCTTTTTATTTTTTGTAGGACTATTTAAAGTGTCAGTGAAGTTCCACCTGCCAAGTCCATGCCTCAATTCAGGAAAGCACTACTAATCAAGAAAGCATTTAAGCCTTAATATATTCTAAGCCTTAATATGTGCTTATTATGTTTTTCTGAACAGTTGCCAAACATGCAAGAAAACAAGACAGTCTTTCCCACTTGAGAATGCGGCCCAGTACAACTGAATATAATGAACTGATACACTATTCACAGTATCAGCTAATAGACTTCAGTGTTGTAACCTTAATCCTGTTTGTCCTTCCACTCAAAATGGTAAGATAAGACAAAGGAAAAAAAATCTCCTCAAGTTTTTTTTAAATAATATTGTGTCTAAACATTTTATATATGTTTAGACACAATATATATATGTTATGGATATATATATTTTATATATATGCATATTTGAATTTAATAGGGTCTCATATACAAAAAAATTGCTGAAAACTAGCAAGAGCAAATGAAGAGCAGAGAAACTTAGTAAAAGGATATAAGGACAGTTTTAGCTCTAATTATAAATGAAAAGATAAGAAAAGGTAGAGCAGACATTTAATAAAAGGACTGATTCCAAATCAGAAAGATAGAGCCACTTAAAGATAAACAGAACAGTGTCAGTAAGAAGTGCATGAAGGATGCCTAATAATGAAGAAACACAGAAACGTGATAGGTTAATAAGAGAAGTAAATAGATACAACATAACATAGAAAGTCAGTGAAAATGATGAAAGTGATATACTTCCATTTGACAGAGCAAGGAGGAAAACAGTCACACTATGTTGGATTTTCTGAAAGAAGAAGTATTCAGAAATATTCCCATAGGAGAAGGATTTTCAACGGTTATTCAAAAGTTACTAAGAAATTAATGCACACTAAGGTGTAAGCAAGCAGAAGGTAAAGCTCAAAAGGCAAAACAGTAACTGTAATAGTAAAATAGTGAATACTGAAATAGTAAAATAAATAGTAAAATAGTAAAAAAAAATATATATATATATTTGCACTCGATAAGGTAAGCACCATAAGAAATTATCTGACGTTACTTTTCTGTTCTATTATGCCAGAAAAAATATATTTTTAAATTAACGCTTATTATTTGTTCAAATTATATTTTTCGTCTTTAATGTTCTTGTTAAAATAGTCCCTCCATCATCACCACCTTCCAAGAAACAAAAACAAAAACAAAAACAAAAACAAAAAACAAATTAAATAGCACAAGCACTTTCACTGCTCTGTTAATGAGAAATTTCACTCACCGTTTTAGGTCGTCCTTGGCTGTGTCAAGAGAGAAGCTTAACAGATGAAATTCAGCTCCACAACACAGCAATATAAAGGTATCTATATAATAAAACTGTGCAAAGCGTACAGATTTATGGAACTTGTCTTTGCCCTGAAATTCAAAGTAAATAATTAAGAATGTATTCCAGCATATTGAATATTTTTTCTTTGAATTTCCAGCACAAAGGTGTAGCCTCCATGTATCTCTCATCCTGACCATATGCCAAAAGGTTAACCTACTGTGCGGTGGTCTTTTCTATTTTCAATACCTATTAATCTCAAGACAAAATTTTCATTCTGTTTAAATCAGTTGGCAGTAAGCGTAACAGTATCTGCAGTCAATTGAGTTTAATAAGATCTAGCTTCACACACTAAACTTCCATTTGACTTGAGGAGTAGACTATAATGTCAAGCAGAGCTGAGCCAATTATAATAGAAAATATATAGCAGATATTAAAACCAAAACTTTCAGACATACCCACTAGGTTTGGCAACAAAAGTTTTTTTGTTTTCATAACTTGTCAAGATAAAAAGCCTAATTTGCGGTCAATGATGACCACCTAGATCATAGTAGCAATTGGAATCACTGCTACTGAGTAGCTCTGAAAGGCCTCATGCTCCTTCTACAGACCCATTAAAATGGAAGTAGATTAAAATGCAAAACAGTGTCCTCTGTGAATCAACTGACATGAGTTTCTCATTACCAGAAGTAGGACAGGTTCTTTACTGCAGACTGACCAGATCCTTAATGTTCGGTCTTCTGATGCAGAAACTAACCACTTCTTGTCATGACTCCAGCCAACAGAGTTAACCGCACCATCATGACCTAATAAAAATAATAATGGAAATATCATAAAGCCTGTTTCTTGCATTTACACATTTCTCCAGGAATAAACATATTGTTTTAATATAATTATATAAAATATTAAAATACAATTTAAATGTATACTTCAAATGGCTGGATTAAAATCGGTAACAGTAAACTTTTCATTGATTTTTTTCTTCTACCAGAAACTGCTGAAAAACGTCTCCCGTTAATAATCAACCTTCACAAACTTAAATAAGGACAGAAAAATGTCAAGTTATTCTACCTGAACAATCACATGCATTTGTATGACACTGCCTCCATTGTTATGAGGGAGTTCATGTGAAACATTATAACAAATATAAGAGTAAAGGACACAACTATCTTTTACAGACATTCGTATTTTAAAAGAACAAAATTTAGAAAAAAACAGTTTTAAGGGAAAATACAGTATTCCTCAAAAGAAAAGAAAAGAGAACTTGAGTATTATATTGTGATAAAATTTGATGTTAGCATATTGAAAAATAGATTCTGGAAACCATTTCATATCTTTCAAATAGTTGCAATACTTTTTTTTATTTTATTCATTAGATTTTTAATACTAACCTACTATTGTCAAAATACAACGAAACTGCCACTACAGCAGCTTCTCCAGGACTGTCTCATAAGTTAAAAAAAAAAAAAACTACTTGCTTAAAAATCATAGGTTAAAGTTCTCTTAACCTCTTCTTAATAACAAAAAGTTTCTGAAAGAATCAGATAGTTGTCTGATCAGTATGTTGGTGTCACACAGTTAAAAAAAAAAAGAGAAACTTACAAAGAGAAAACTTTAATAGCCAGAAATATCATACAGAAGTTAAAATTATTAATTTACTCACTTATAACCTAAAATTATTTTGATGCTCATCAAAAGGTTCAAAAAAAGAAGAAAATATGCCAAACGGAATTAACATGCTTTGGCCCATATTACTCTCTTTATTTGTCCAGATCGTCAGATTTCAATCTAAAGAATTTCACCTAAAACATTCAAAGTGCTTATGCTGCCCTCTTGTGCATATTTTCTCTTTTTTAGTCAATTGAAGTTTTACATAAAATATTTAAATTGTTTCAAATTGATTAGCGTATCCTGTAATTTATCTCGGCAGTTAAGGCTTTCTGTGATAACATATATCTATTATATAACATATATCTTGCTTACAAGCAAGATATTTTAAATCCCAATTATAAAAGACCTATAACATTTTCACCAGAAAAAACGTTAAAGTATTGCATAGATACATATATCAGTGCTAAATAAATAATGAAATATATAAAAAACACTATGATTTATGGTTGAAACAGGATGCCTACTATAAGCTCTTATTTTCTTTTCACACTACAAAGCATAATTTTTCGAGTATAACTTCACTGCCACTCTTTATTTTCAAGGCAAAGGGATTATTTTGGGGCTTTGGTTTCATAAAAACTTTTGGAAACCTTGAATTACCAGCAGGCAAAAAAAGGAAAAAATACTTATCAGAATATACAAAATAATTTTCCAAAGTGGGAAGAAACATGAGAAACTTTAGGAAAATCTGAGGTTTGGAAAATTGGAAAAGCCATGCAAAAAGCTTAAAATCTCTGCACTCCAGGTCCCCCAATCCCAAAGCAGAGTGAAGATGATGCCAGCTGGCTTGCAAGACACCAGTAAGCTTCAAAACAGTCTTTACTCAGGGTTCCCCGTTCCTGAAGCACGCTGAGAAGGACAGCAGCTGGCTTTGTAGAAAGACGTTCTTCAAAAGGGCCATGCTAGCTGTAACCCTTTTAAAGCTGGCCAGCATTACCTGCACTTCACAATAAGGCATAAGTAACTGAAAAGCCAACACTGAAGAGGAATACAGAACTACTTCAACTCTAACTGACCACTTCTTCACCTAGCAAAACTGAATAAATTAGGCTTATAACACGACTGCTTTTGTTATATCACTCCTCTGTGACGGTGCATTATAAAAATGTACTTTTAAAGAATCACATATATTCAGAAGCTTATGCTGCCTGCAAATTTTTTAACTAACATGGTACATTGCCTTTTCTTAAAAAAAAAATGAAATTTTACATTACTATTGGTTTAAACTCTGAATCAGAGTCACTCATCACGTTTTTAATGAACGGAAAATACATTTATTATGGTACTTCAAAAATAAAGATATTCATTTCAAGCAGAAGATAGATAGATTTCCTGATAATTTGAGCTGTGCAGGAAAAACTACGTGAATTAAATAATCATACAACAGATGATCTGCAGTTCCTACCACCCTAGAGTAGAGTATCTGACAGTTTCATATTTATGCTGTTCTTGAAAAGAACTGCACACACAGTGCAGCTTGCATTCTGGCGCTTACTAAAGAGCCTGAAGTAGGATGTAGTTTACAAATCTTTTCATACTGTGCATCATAAAGAAAAAAGACAAAGAACACTAATAGAGCAAAGCCAAACATCAGTAAAACAGTTTCATTAACAGTTTAAATGATTAATAAATCTTTTTTTTTTAAGTCAGACAAACTAGTACTTGACACCTAAGTACTGGCACCAGAAACAGCTTCTCTGTAGTAGCATGAAGTTTGGTGCAGGTCATTTTACTCTTCTCATCATAATAAATTAATTCACATTTGCAGAGTTTTGCAGTATTTTAGGCTGCTCTGTCTGAATTAGCATAGGAATCTGCACCCTGCATGTTAAGCAATATACCTTAAAATACATCTTACAAAATCATGAGATTTCATTTGATAGAAAGAGAAAGCCTTTAGCTAATAATGTATCAAAATCTAATAAAGTACTGATTCTGTTATGATTTAGAGAGTTATATCAACTAAAGTTTTCCTTCAGTTTTAGAAATCTCTTCATTCTAACCTCTTTTCTTTAAAATATATCTATTTAGATCGATATTTTTCGTATTAAAGTTCATGTCTTCTGTTAATGTCAGTACCAAATAAAGTCATTCCTTAGGTATTATTTAATATGTAGCATGTATACGGAGGTAAAGATCTGTTAACATCAACGAAACTAGCAGCTTCCCCTGAGATGAAACAAAGATACAAGCCAACTATTGCCAGTGCAAGAACAATGAAGCCAGAATAAAAAACTAAATTCATGTGAAAAAATATCCGAAAAAGCAAAATATCACTTTCTGCAGCACATAATCTCCATATGCACTCAAACAAAACCAGCCTATGTCGGACATCTTGATAGGGCTTCACAGAAAGAGAAGCTAGATCTGCAGTAGACAGGCTGCAAAGAACAGCTACAGAACATACATGGTACAATGACAATTTTTAGCCTCACTGAATCATTTTGCGAGATTTATGTTCTACTCCAAGTCCAGGGCAGCCCTTCAATGCAAATCAGCTTTTGAGGTTCTTGAAAGTCATTTATATCTCAGCTTTTCCAGATTACTTAAGAAAAATGTGCTAATGAAAAGAGCATTGCTATTCTTTGGGCATAATATTGTTAAGTCGCTATGTTCCAAATACTATAGCAGTGCTATATCATTTTTTTTAAAGATACTTCATAACAGGTAAGGGAAGGGAATAAATAATTTTGATCCCTTTTGGCTAACTGCATTTTTTATAAATAGGGAACTTCTAAAACAATGAGTCAAGTACTGTTAAATATATTTCAGATATAAAGAGTCCCTTTGGATAAAATTACTGCTTTTGTTCCAGTATTGCCTAAGTAACAAAAATATGTTAATAAGACCTCAAAGCACTGTTTCTGGCTGCATTTTATGTGACTTGCGCAATAAATTTGCTCAAATTAGTTGGTGATATATGAAGAAAAACATTTGTAAAAGTTTATGAACTTACTATTGCAGCAAAGAAAGACCTTATTACCCTACCCACAAGGCATATTTTCATCAATTTCCCCCCACCTCCCGGCAAAGGAAAATACCAGTAATGTTATGTTCATTAGTGGCCACAATGCAGAACATGTCAGCCATTTCAAGGATTACGGGTTTTTTTTTTTTTAAATGATCCTGGATAAAACAGAGGTTTACAAGCTCACAACGTGATCTTGCTATGAACACTGTTAAGACATAACACTTCAGCACTAGAAATACTTGTTCTGAGGATAACATGAAGTTTTGCTATTTAAGAGAAAAATCAGAACTCAAAGCACACCAAACAGCAATGAATTTGCAATCCAAGCACATTCTGATAATAAAGAACTGATGTCTCTCAGCTAAAAAGGCACTGCTAAAAGCAGAAAGAAAATCAAAGCCCACACATACGATGATGCATGATACTGTCTCTTTCCTTCTAGCAATTTGGCCTTTGATTCCAATTACAAAAAATATCTTGGATTTACCTCAACAAATATTATGCTATTCCTCATGTTTGAAAACTACAATCTGGGAAAATTCAGTGGTTTCATCAGTGCAATTTCTTATGTTAAAGAATTAATTTTTTAAAGAAATTAAATTTCTTATGTTGTAGAATTTGTAGACTGCTGAACTCAACTGGAAGCACAACATAGCTTTCCACAACTGGTTGCTCTAGATTTGAGAAGTCCATTAACATTGCAGTCTATGAGACATGTCTTTCTCCTACAGAAATGTCGTACAAAATGGTAGATGTGAATTTAATGAATGGCAGTTTCCTTTTGGTTTAAGGATAATAGTAAGTAAAAGAATAAGCTGATATTGTACTCTTTAAAATAAACTGACAAGCTTCTTAATAGTATTTTTTTAAATAGTGCATACCACAAATATCAATAGCATTAGTATCAGGTGTTTTGTAACTTTTCCATTGATACTGACTTTTTCCAAGTCTTCTGCAAAATACAATGAAAATTACTCTGTGAGAAATCACAGTTTTCAGAAGTCAGCTTTCAGAATCTTCACTCAGAAATAATGTTTTCAAATAATTGTAAATACTTTCTTTTTATACTTGGTAAGGTCTTTTCATAAACAGCAGTCAGTTTCCATGATGAACTTCACAGTAAACCAGGTCTGCTATATGACTCTTTATAAGTGATAACATTTACTGTTATTTGCAATATTACAGATTGTTTTGTAGAAATTTAGAACTCATTTTTTAGAAAAAGTTCATTTACAATGTTAAATATTTAGCCTGTGTACACTTTTGCAGACATGGATTTCTCCATAGGAACAGTCCCTTTTATTTCAAATAATTATTCTTCAAAAGTCTGGACCTGCAAGCCAAACATATTATTGACCAATCTCCTTGGTCAAATGTTTGGCTAACAATCTATTACAATGTATTACTGTAATACACATTACCATTGCAACATATTGCCTTTATTATATATATTTAATTACTGTAATATACACAGACACAATACATATTTCAATATATATCGTGATACATTACTAGCATTTATCACCCAGGAAACTGAGAAACTTGGAAAACTGAAAGGTAGTTTAAGTCTAGAACAAAATTCACCAGAGAAATAATTTCTACATCCTGAAAGAGAAGAATTGACATTTGTTTTCAGGGCGACATAAGTGGAATCTTTTCATTAATATGCCATTTAGGTTAAATTCATTATTATACACTAGTCTTTAAAAATGTAACTCATAAATTTACCTGAAAAAACAGCTCGCATATTCGTAAGGCTGGAATCAAATACCAGTATAGATTTGTCAGCAAGGCCGCAAGCGAGCAGCTCTCCATCCCCTATAAGAAGATTGTCTAATGATTTATGTTTGAAAGCAAAGAAGATCTAATATCTTCGTTCTTTAAATCATAAAAGTCATATACATCACTGCAACAAAATACATGAGATATTCATTTCACTTGTTTAAAACAATCTTTGTACAAACATCATAAACAATTTGCGTTTCAGAACTTTATAGGAATCTGTACACAGTAGTTTTTTTGTTGTCCTGATATATTCTCACAAAAGTTATTCATCACAAGGCAGAAATTCATTTATTACAAAAAGTTCCCCAAAAATTTAAGTGCAGAAATATTCAGCAGCCATAATATTCTACTTCCTGACTTTCATTCAGTTCTGTATAACTTCATGTTAAAGTTATATTCCATTTTGATATGTATCAGAATAAAAAGCATATATTAAGCATTTGGGATCACTTCATAAAGAAGATAAATTTCTTGTCAGCTTCATAAAGTAATCCTAAGAACTATCAAAGCGCAATCAGATTATTCATTCGCGTTGGTAATCAGCAGGGATATACATTGACAGGACGGTCCCTTAACGTTTACCTAATTGCTTTGGTTTGGGAAATTTAATCGTTCCCTCAGATAATTTCCCTGAAAAACTTTGAGGATAATATAGGAGTAAATAAACAAACAAACCAATGGGGAAAGGTAGGGCAGAGAGTGAGAAGAGAGAAGGGACAGAAAGAGAAAGAAGAGAAATGAAAGTTTAGAATTCAGATCAAGACCATTAGGTTCACTGTGAAAAGTAATTTTTGAAAGAGGTATCTCTCGAGCACCCCTTTCATAAAGCTCCTGAGCCTTTGTGCAAAGGGACAGGGAACATAAGGCATGCGTAAACCTTTATTCACCAAAGATACCCACTGCTATCCACCACCCAAGTACCATCCACCTTGCAGTTTCTGAATACTATATTCCACACAGCAACACTACACATTTTTTTCCAAATAAATGAATGACTATATAAACAGATAAGAGAACTATATTTCTGATCTCTCAGAGCCATGTATTAAAAGTGAATTTTAAAAAGTCTTACACAGAATGTCGTAGAAATATATGTTAAAAAGAAGTATCCATCTTTGAACTAAAGGGTAGTGCTCTTCAGATTTTCCCTCATTTCCTAAGGTTTTGAGAATATGTATCAATTGAGCATGAGACCTGATCGATAAGTATATCAGGTAAGTGACCATACACATAATTAATAGTACATAAACCTTCTTGTGCATAGAGAATGAGAGAAAATCACTTTGCTTATACTTTTGGAGGCTCATTTAACGGCAAGTCATCTCAAATCCTTAGGGAGATCCTGCTTCCTAATAGAGATCAACAAGTCGTATGTCGTAACACCTCCAACAGGATATTTACTCCATAGTGCAACTTTACAATCTCATTTACTTAAGCTTTCTATTTAATTTCCTTTCTACAGATGTACATAAATATTATTCTGACTCACAGTTTACAAAGACCACTTGACAGTGTTCGATTTCAAGTTGCAAATTTACAACAGAAGTTACACTGTAAAGCTAGGAACCATCCGGCAATGCAAACCACAATAACAACACTTCTTTACAAGCTTGCAAAAATATGATTTTTTACTTCAAGAAAACAAACTCTGCATTTTTTTACCTTAATTTTCTTAATCTACAGCTGTTTAAATCTCTGGGGGAGGGGGCAGTGTGAGAGAGAGAGATGTCTCTTCCTCAAATACCTGGGAGAAGATTTCTGCTTAAAATGTTTTATCAAAACTACAGTATTACTTTTTTACCAAAAATAATCTTTACTTTTAAGGTCACAGAACATTCCTAAAAATAAGCTTTCTGTAACTGATTTCTCTCATAAACATTAAAAAAAATTCTTTAAAGTCTATGGGGAAAATTTACATCTAGAAAATGTTTTGGAAAAGTTTTTGACTGCATCTAAGTTGATTTTATTTCTTGAAGATGCAAGTTACTCTTCTCCCCAAAATACTTACAAAGATTCACATTTTTAAGCACCAACTGTTTCTGTATGATAATATTCCTATGCATTAGGAATGACCAAACTTTGGACGTGGCTCACTTCTTCAAAATAGTTAAACAGTAAATATGTCACCTAATTAAACCCTCTCATATGAATTTTGGTTTTCTTTCTGTACCCTGAGGGAACAGTACATCTTATAAAACCTTTACATACCAGAATACTGAATGCAACACACTGGGGTTGGTTTATAAGCGACAGATAGCTCTTTCTCATATTTGGTTGGAGGAGAACTTTCCAATGGATATTCTCTATTTTTGCTTCAAGGAAGGAGAAAGGAGACAGGAAAAATAGTAAGAGAACTAAAATCAGTATATTTTTATTTCAGTTATGAAATAAAGGTTGTTTGGGAAGCTATTCTAAATAGTTTTACATAAGTTTTCCTTGAAAACCTATGCTAAATTCAAGATAAAGGGCAATATTAATTAAAAACCGTCATGCTTAAATTACTCCTATCATCCACTGCTATGAATTCAAGAAATCATGAATTAACATAGATTTTTAGAGAAAGACAAATATCTTAAGTTGCATACCTATCTAATAAAAGTACTTAAAGAATACAAAGTCTACCTTGTTGTGACAGTAAGCTATACGAAAAATATTTCCTCGTGTAAAAATAACAATGACACTGATGTAAAATGATACTAACAAAAACAATACTTAAGTGCTAAGTTGCTTAATCCACCACAATATAGTGCAAACCATTCTTGAAATCGTCTACAATGTTCTTCCAAGTGTTTGCCAATATGTGCAAGATAGTTCTTGCCTAAAAACTTAGTCCTGTGCTATTAAGTGTTTTAGAAACATATTTTTTTAAAAAATGATGGCAATAATCATTCTTCATTTTTATGCTTGCACTACACAGAACAATGTACTCTATATAGTACTCAAGAGAAAAAATGGGCATAATGTACCCTTTTAACATACCTTACCAATCAATATGAAAGTGCCGGCTCTTAAAAACTGCTAGTTCTTTGTGTCTACAGTGATAGTGAGTCCACTGGTCAAACTGTACCATTATGTATACCCTGTTTAAATCTACTGTCTACAGTAAGGTAGCAGTAGTTTAAGATATATGATTTTACGGGTGAATTAGGGACATAATCTTAAATCACTAAGCCTCTCTGTGCTACATTCAGTAATTTTTGTGACTAGAATTGCATGTTAAGTACATTTTGGGAATATGCCTCCAGTCATACTTACCATTTAGTATTTCTAAAAATTAAACAGATCTCTAACAAAAATTGAAGAAAATAAATGTGTATATTTTCTTATATACATAAGAGTTAATCAGCTTTAATCGATAGTTTGATAATTTAAATCATTTGTTGCAGTTATTTTACGGTAAATTTACAAGGCCTTTCATTTCCAGTGATGCTCCTAACTAAAAAGCTGCAATGAGAGAAGCAATTACTAATCATATTTATTGTAAGATTGTATTTATCCTCATTTTAATTTTTTTTCCTCTATTGCAGCTGCTGGGTTACCTACCATTTACAACTGGTCTTCCACTTTGATATTTCATTATTTTTCTTCAGTTTAGTAACTGGAGAGAACATGGTCATTCTACAAAAAAGAACACAGATTCTCCTGTATAAAATATTAAATGCTCCATGAGAGAACTATTTTATTTCACACATAGAACAATCCTAGTTCTTTCTTACTATTTATGTTTACTATAAATGTCAGTAGGTAAGATAATGCACACATTCAATAATGACAAGAAAAGTTTCTAATGATCTAACTCTCCAGTTTGCATCTAAGTTCTGCTTTCTATGAGCCAGTTGTTGGATAATGCATTTTGAAGGTCAAAAGACCCTCATATAAAGTCCTCAGATATTTACTTCTGAAAACTGAAGAAACAAGAAAAATTTCATCCTGTATACGAAACAGAATGCCTAGTATAAATTTCGAAATAAGGTTGAAACAACTGAAGTCAGAAAGTAAGTTTTGAGCTAATAAAATACAAAGCCAGCAAGTGCAGCACAAGTTCTTCATGTAGCAGTACCAATTTACAAGAAAAATCATTATTGTGAGCACTAAGCAAATGGACAAATAATGTTATAACGGGCTTTTCTTTCCCCTAGACAATATTTCCTATATTTAAATGGAATGATCATAGCTTTCTCAGTCACACTCACTGAAAATGGAGTCCAGCCCCTCTGACAGCTGCTGCTGACAGATACAGTTCTAAATTTCTCAGCAGTGGCAGCACAACACATTATCAAAAATGGAGACACTTCTTAGCATGGTCTCTGCAAGAGCCTGAGCTGTACAGAGGCCACTTACAATGTGAAGGACATTCCATCTTGAAGATCTCACACCAAATGTTTACATCACCTACTTTCCATTACAACAGCCTTCGCCTGAACACTGACATTTTCATGGATCTCTCAGCTAGTAATAAACTCAGGACTGACCTTCCAAAAGGTTTGCTCTTGTCAATATAAAAGGAGAAAAATATCTTGATATTGGAGGTATAAAGATGGCTTTGTCTTTACATGTATGAAGCCTGGTGAAAACACAGAGGTGATTTTTTGGGTTAAGGTGAAGTGGGATACCATGTTAGAAAAGAATCTCGGATGTTCCAAAGGGAACACTGTGTAGGGGGATTAATGAAAGGCTCAAAACTATCCCATTCTCCTGGCAGACACGATCACAACCAAAAGTACCTTCATCCAACAAGTAAAACAACAAGCAGGACACAGCACGGGAGTGGAAGTTCAGAAGAGTCCTTAAAGGAACTTAGTTTCCATTGTAACTTTGATCTTTTGTTGCTGAGAACATTTTAGTCATGTTCTCAAGGAATGCTTAACTGGTGGGTTTGAGAAAACAAGGGAACTCTCTGCCACAGAGTAAGGGGTGAGGTGGATAGACCACCCTTGACCTAAGGGAGTTCAGAGCTCACATCCATCTTACCTCACCTAAGGCTTTTAGGATTAGAGGAACTGGGGAGAAGACTCAAATGAGTCTGTATGTTCTCAGAATTAGGGACATATCCAACACGCTTAGGAATCATGTGCCCAAGGAATAAAGGGTTCATCACTTCAAAATGATTAAATTTATTTTGAGGTGTCCCAGTCTCAAAAAGTTGTTCACAGAATATAAAACCACAGGTCCCACTAGCAGTCTAAAAATGTAAATGTAAGCAACCCTTTCATCAGACCACTTTAAAGGTATTCAGGAAGCATATTACTGGCAGGTAAGAACTGGTTCTTGATGTCTCAGTTCCAACACAGGATAAGTTCTCATACAATAGCTTGCACCATTCTATTTATGATGTAATAAATATAATAAAAAAGGATGTAATAAATATAATACACCAGGATGGTACTGTCCATCACAATCTCTTCCAAAAATGAAATGTCTTGTCTGGAAACCACCTTGAGCACTGAGACACTGACAAAAAGTTTCCACTTCTCTGAGGACCTCTAGTACCATACTGCTCATTTCATCTGAATGAGCTCTCCATCCCAAGAGAAACCTTTGCAAGCTGTCAAGGAACACAGGTAAAGTTGTAGAAAGCTTTCAAAGTGATCCAAAGTTCCTAAGAACAAAACAGAAGGTTCCTCAAAGGTAAGACCACACCAATAAAGAGAGGTTACACAGCTGAGACTATTGTAACATAACCCATCTCAGTCGCTGTTTGAGAGGGAATAAAAGGCATACTTCTGACTGCGCTAATCTGCGTATGTTCTGTATAGACAGAGCAAAGGAAAAAACTAATTAACAGATTTTGTTTCATAACATCACACCTATTTTTCATGAGTCATTAATTTAAAAGTGGCAACACTGCATGGCCCTGTTATGCAATAAGAAAGGAAATACTGCATAGTAATATAACACACCAGCAAAACAGATAAATTAGTATCTACTCACTGCGGTGCTGTTGCATAACCTGATGACTTAACTTTCCTGTGGAAAACCAAAGGTTGGTCCTTCACTGTGCTTTTCACTCCTGTAGCAAAATAATTTAATTTTCATTATAGTGTTTTCTTAACATTATATTTTTGCAAATTATGGTAAATATTCATTTTAAACTAGTACAATGCTGTCTCCTTATTTCACAAAAGGCATTTAAGAACAATTACTCTAAAACAATGGTTAACGAGAAGAGAAAAGAAATGTAAACTGTTGTTTTGCATAGCAACTATGTAGGTGGCAAATCATGAAGCATATGGTAAATTCCTGATTAAAAGTAACATGTTTGTCTATTAGGTCTGCATGTTCTATGGTACTCATTAAAAACGATGATAGTTATCTCTTCACTCCAATCTCAGAAATAAATCCTGTAGGGAATATTTGGTGTAAGGTGGTTAATAGCCATCTCTCTGGAACAATGTTATTAGAGCAAACCTTAAACCTGCTTTCCTTTGCTTGTTTTGCACCAAGCAAGTGTTTGGTGGCATAGGAACATAAAATTTCTTTATATCATCCTTAACCAGTCTGAGCATGCGTACCACACAGCTACAGGTCAGCACAGAAAATAAAACACTCAAAAGTACCTCACATTATGCGATCTTTGATAAATTTGCTAAATGAGCCCAAATGCTTAAAAACATAGGTCAGGTATGGATTTCTTTGTACAGAAAAATAAAATTAAATGAGCTTATGCCAAAACTGTCTACTGTAGATTTATCTAAAATTTCAGCTTAGCATGTACCAGAAATCTCACATTGAAAACACATCGATAAGTAGACAAGAGTCGCTGTGGTTTTTTTCCAAAAATCTCTCACTTATACTTTTCCTTATCTCTGAACAACTCTAAGTGAAATTCAAAGAGAAGGTTGTCAGGTAGCAGGCTAAGTCACTGACAGTCAGTCTTCAGGTACTGTGTCAAAATTCAAATTCCCTAATTATCTTTCTTTCATGGAAAAATTAAGTGAGCATGAAAATCTCATCATCTACTTTGTGATGGTCCCATTTGTGTGACACATAGGGCAGAGCAATATACTGTTTATCACCAATATCCTACAAAAAAATCCAATTAAGTTGTCCAAATTAAGGAGCGAACCTGTCCTGATTCATTCTGTTAATTGTCACAGACTATACAGACATGACTCTTAAGATCACAGACTACCATTCGAGATCAAAGTCTGCATTCGAGAAGGATGGAAGGATCAATGAATATCAATGAATAGGAACCTCTCCAAACTTTGAATTAACAAGAATACTGCTCTGAGGAACTTTTTTCATCATTAGTTCCTGACTGTGTTTCATAGTTGCCTATTTTATGCTTAGACTTTATGTGCATCGGCTATAATGTAATCACATATTATATTTTCTGTGGAATATACATAATGATCATTAAACTGGCTGACAGGTACACAAAAACATTTGGCTTTTATGTGGCCTGAGAAGCCATTGATAATGGCTCCATCTGCACTGCTGTACTGAGAAGCCTGGAGGGCAGCCTCAAGCCCAAAACTAAATACAAACACTTCAATTAATAGAAACACCCTAAGTAAATAAACGGGTAAGAGGGAAATCTTGTCGATGTTCCCAGAGAAAAGCCTTAGATTCATCGGGAGCGATCTCTTGGGCACAATGCTGTGGATGGAATCACCAGAAACTCCCAGCTGCCTGCCTTTACTTGTACTGATGAAACGAGGCAGGAAAGGGTCCTTCTTGAGAAGCTGCCAGCATCACTTGCCATAAGAGACCATAGGACTTCTTTGCAGTGCCGAATCTATCCGAGTGTTAGATGTCAACAGGGATAGTACAGATATCTATGCTAGGGGCAAGAAGCAGTCTGGAATTCTAGCAAATACAGTACAGATGCATCCTGAGAACATCATACAACAACTGGACCCCCTAAAGATATGACCTTTGACATTCTAACAGGTCCAACAAATATAATCAATATAAAGAAAATAATTACTTCTACATGCCTACAGCTGTCAGTCATTAGATTAGCTTTCTAAAAACATACATAGTTTTAAAGTGGAACCTTTTTACAAAGGCAGTTATGAAAAAAAATATTTGGTAGATGCTGTCTGGACTTTTCTTTACAACTGCTAGACAAAGAAGCTACACATGCTCTAACAGCAACTGAAAGTTGGCCAGTTTCTTTATACATACATACGTACATACATACGTATTTATAACAGCAAGAAGTTGAGGCCAGACTTAACTGCCTACATTCACAGGTACAGACAAAAGACTATTCAGGACAATAAAACTACCGTAAACACATAAGGAAAGTTAAGAAAGGAAAGGCAAGTGATACAGAAAAATATATGACATACTATGAAAAAAGAAAAAGGATGAATTAGTGAATGACTTACGCTCCTTAACTCTTTCAAAAGCTACAAAAACTTCTCAGAGGACTATTTTTAAAAGAAACAAAAACACTATCACCATCATTTTCACTACAAATATGTATTTAGGGTACAAAATATTTCTTAACAGAATATAAAAATAAAAAGTATAATGCAAGACATAACTTGACTCAGAAATCAGTATCTTTATTAGAGGTGACCTGAGCCAGTTGTGAGTCAGTTACCGTTATTAAAAATATATTTATTAATTCATTTAAAGATTGGTTTACACTTACCAACTGTTTTACTAGAAGGTTCCTTGACTTTTTTTTTTAAACCTTTACTCAGTGGAGATTTTGGCAGCAGAGAACACCTAAGTATAAAATGAAGCACAAAAATCGATCACCGCAATGGACAAAAGTTTCAGATTAGGAAAACTTGTCTCAACGTCTTTTCTAGCTACTTGTGTGCATGGGTGCATGAATGGGCACGGCACGCGCATGCGCGGGCTTGTGTGTATGCATGACATCAACGAGCCTTTCATAAGTACCAATGAAGCACAGTGGATTAGTTTATCACCACAGATACCCAGAGGCACAGACAAGACTCTGCTCAGATCAGATTCACTGATCATTGTATTTACAGGTTAAAATCCTGTTTCTCTGAATACTGACTGGCAATTACATTATAAAAAAAGTGAAATCTTCACTTTGATGTAGATTTTAAGTTTGTCAGTGACCTCCAGATTTCTCCCAGTCAATGCAACTAAAATATTTTTCAGTGACAATAAAACAAATAGAATAACAGCATGCCAACAAATAAAACTGTACAAAACCATCTGATGCATTTCAGTGTCAGAAAGACAAATACATAACCCTACTCTTTGAAGAAAAAAACAACATTTAAAGTTATTCTGTACCTGGCAATAACTGATAGAGGCTTCTCCTTTCCACATATGAGAAAACCGTTCTGCTGAGATCTCACCAATGCAGCAATGTTAACCTCCAACACAGCAATCATATCTTCAAACATTGAGGAGAGCAAGCATAAAACCTGCAGCAATTATGCCATAAAATAGCACTCCTCTCACTTAAAAATTTAAGTTCTAACAGCAAAGCCTTTGGACAATGAAATCACTTTGTGTCATTTATGGAAATTACTGAAAAATATCAAAATATCCATGGGTTTAGTCCTGCAAAGCATTAAACAGTAAAAAGTAGATAATGCTGTCCTCCAAACATATGCTTATGCTTTTTAAGTGGATTTCTTAATGGATTTGCATACCTAACGTTCACAGAAATCCCAACACCTTCTACAGTAGAGATATGTGCTTAAGAGCTGTGAGACATGAGGCACGCATGGGACAAAGCCTGGTTTCAAAGACATGCTTGGAACTGACTTACACGAGTGAATAAGCACTAGGCTTTAAAACAAAACATATTGCCACTTCAAGTATGGAAGGCCTCGATTCAGCTCAGTTCTGCGAGAAAAATATGACAGCAGAAATGGAGTATATAAGAAAGCCTTTCCTTTCCTTAAAAGCTCCTTGGTGACTTTCTATAGAAATTTTCTCACAACTCAAATAGCTTTCACAGATTTCTTGAAAGGATTTGGAAACAGTTCATCCTGACCTTTGCTGGATAAACAAGGTGTAACAATGTTTACAACTTTTTTCCCCTAAAAGAGTGACTCTGTTCCCATACTCACTGTTCCTAGCATTCCAAACACTACGAAAAACAGTTCATCCTTTTGTTGGTAATCACTTATGTTAATAGATAAATTGTGAGGTCTTTAAAATTACCCATGTATTAAAACTAGTAGATTCCATAAAGTAGAATCAACCCTCTCCAGAAAAGCTTTTGCATAATTCTCATGAAGCAAAACAAATGTGTATGTTAATCTGCAAACAAAATGCATAAGAATTAATACTTCTGAAAATTGAAAATTTAAACGTTCATTAAAACAATATATAAAATGCATGCTCACCTTTCCATTAACTGTCTTCCTTGCTAAGGCACACGATCCAGCAAATCGAATTCTGAGGCCGCTGTAATCTTTACCAAACAGAGTATATTGCAGTAAAAGTGTACTTACATTGAAAAAGAGCTACCACTAAACCAGAAAAAAATCTTCTTGCACTGACTTGACATCACTATAATTCTACTATCTTCAATGTATATTCTTCTAATTTACCCCTCATTGTAAAGCAAGACCAGAATAACAACCCTTGTAGTTAATAATCATATGTTACAAAATCAGATGAAAATTCATTACTAGCCAATACAGAAATCAAGAGCTGGCACATCTTCTGAGACAAGTTAGCAATGCCAGGAAATTATGCAAATATGTTTAAAAACAGTTTAAAAGAGAAAAACTTTTATTTCTACTGTATTCTACTATTTAACAAACTAGTTCTTATACTATTCAGATAAGATAAAAAAGGAGAGCAATGACATTATGGTGCAGTTAGATACTTTATGATCATACCTTTGTAACATAAAACAGCTTCTAATTCAAAGTTTGCTGAATTAATTATTAACAAACCAGTAGAGCTTCCTATCCAAAAATATCTAGTATTTAAGGTAGGCAATCTATTAAAAAAAAGGAAAGAAAAAGTATTTAAGTACAATAAATAAGCTTTCCTAGTAACTGTTTTATTTAAATATCTGTTATCCAATTTCAATATTACAACAATAACAAACTACACTAAAAAGGATTTTAGATGTGCAGCAAAAACTTTTAAATGTGTAGTTCAAAGTAAAAAGTGTCACTGAAAGCTTTGAAAAGTTTTGAAAACTAACAACAGCACAATTCTTGATTTTACATAATTGCTCATGACAATTCTAAAGCAGCAGAGAAAATATTTTAAAAACTACTGTGGTTTCTAACAGTTCAGAGGTGCAGTAAAAGCACTACATACACTAAGTGTAAATTCAAACAGAGAGGCAAATCTCTATATATTCTTTACTTTCACCATCTGTAATACGAACACTCAAAAAGCAACTGATCTTCAGCTATTTTTGGAGATGTTTATGACACAGGACCAGAACCAGCATAAACTAAGGGGAAAAAACAATATAAAAATACAAGCAAATGGGGGAGGTCTGTAAGAGTCTATGTATAGTGGCAGCGGTATTGCAATTGTGTAATGGAATCCAGGGTTCACACACACCATGGTGTAGATCAAATGGTTATAATTTCAATCACCATCCTCAAGGAAAAAAATGTTATCAAGCATTAGATGATTATAACAAAACAAATATTGCCTTTCTCAAAAAGTAAAAATGCTTTGATGTCACTGTAAATAAAAGCTGACATCAAATTTTAAACAATTTTTCCAACAAAAAATGAGTGGACTTATGAGTTTGACTTGCAAAGTGAGACGACAACTGTTGAGGTAAGGATATGGAAAAATATAAAGATGAAGCTTGGTATGAAAAGCTTTAACAGCGGTTTAACACTTTCTTTTTTTAAACAAAAGGAGTCAAACACTTTAAAAAGCAGACTGGAAAAAACAGTTTTACTTCTGGTTTGTAACACTCTTTTGCGCTCTGTATAGCTTCATCTGTGGTTGGCACTACTTTCGGCAACCAGAGACTGATTTAATTTGTGACTTCTTTGAATTGTTTATAAAGTTAGAAATCACACTATCAAGTTATTCTGAACAATGGTATCAAGTTAAATACATAGGAAGTTGATCACATGCCCACTTCACAGTAAGAAAATGCCATTCACTTTAGTGGTACTACTCAACTTATAAAAGTTTAGAGAAGAATGAGACCCATAATATTTTGCATATTAGTAATCTGTAAGAAGATACATTAGCTATTGTTTTTGTGGTTGCATTTCATTGGAGGCTGGAAAAGAAGTAAATAGTGAGGGGGACTGGTCAGCTGTTCAGACAAATCTGGACTTTCTGCTAAAACCAACACTGAGCAGAAAATTTTACCTCCAAATAAAAAACTCTGAAGTCAAAAGATTATGAAACTGCATTAATAGTAAGCATTTAAAAGGCCATCCAAGTGTGAAACAATAGCTAAAAGTCCTTAGCAATAGCTAAGAAGTCCTTAGATGTCCAATGCCAAGCAGTATCATCTAGTTACAGAAAAGTGATGTTATCTCTGTTCAAAAAATTATTTCACTTAATCCATTACTGTGTTCATTTCTGGTAACCGTATTAAAAAAAAAAAAATTTGTAATGAGATTGAGTTTCAGAAAAAGTTACAAAACCAATGTTAACAATTTATCTGAAGTGCAAAAAACATGCCTTATACAGGGCTCAAGTGTTTCATTTTATCCAGAATTAAGTCTAAAGATAAATTGTGCATAAGCTGTAAGTAGCTATACCAGGAGAGAACTTGGAGTAACTGGCTCTAGACTATCACAGTAGCAAATGTACTAATAGCCAATAACTATATATCAAAAAAGAGAAGAATTTAGACCAGAAGTAACATAGGACGAGTCAGTTGTTGGAACATGGACACAGTGGATTCTTCATCACTAGAAAACTAGCCATCTTTAAAGATGTGCTGTAGTTCAAACAGAAGCAACAGTTTTGATGAAGACAAAGGCAGACTTGCAAGTGGTATCATACAAGCAACCAGACTGACTTCTGGCCTTAGAGATCTGAAACTCCACTAAAGTTTGCCTGAGATGTACATCTTAAAAATCATCTTTTTCTTTCTGTCACTGGTACTCCTTCTGAAAATGTAGGCATTGTGAAAATAACTGTTAATAATTACTTCAGTTAACCATAAAGAGCAAACAAAATGATGCAGGACAGCTGGATATTTTTCTTCTCTGTTTATCCAAAAATTGTTTAAAAAACCAACCACAGGATTAACCAGTTATACCTGTGCAACCCATGGGAGGGTAAAGAGTGGAACAAGTGTTTCCTAACACATGATTTGGCTGGGAAACTTCTCTGAGCGGTAATTACAAACAACGAAGAAAAATCAGTTGTTCTGTGAGACTCAGTTCTTGTGGCTGTGTGCTGTATAGATTGCCAGGTACCAGACAATCTGGTTAAATTTCCCTTTAGTAAAGAACTGCAATACAAGGACTAATCTAGGTGTCTCTCCTCTACCTGGCCATCCAATCCCACAGGAAGGAGTAGAAACTTCACACCTTTGTGTGTGTCCGCATCTCTGTCAGTTTGGCTAGAACAGGCTATCAAGTTGTAAAGTTGTTTAAGACTGGAGGGCAAACTGATACTGGCACAGAGTGACTGCACCAGATTTGTTTCCTTAGAAAAGCAAACTAAAAATAAATTTGGCTTTTCAACTCTAACGGCTTTTTTTATTTTTATGTTTTATTTTTTTATTTTTAAACTGATCATACCTGATCAACTGATATTAAAAGATACTAATAAATGGAGACGCCAATGCGATTTTACAAAATTACTTTTCAGACTGGAAACCAGTTTTAACTTTCTATTAGTTTGTGTATGTTATGTCTCTAAGGGTCAGTCACCAAAACTTGCAGATCACTGAACACATTCTCTGATTCTCCTATTGCATTTTGAGAAAATGGAAAGGTGCAGTGAAAATAATCTAAGGACCAACAAGAACTGCTAGGAATAGATTCCAGCCAAATAGTTGGTATATTAGAGGACTTACAAGTTTTCTTCTTTATGGAAGCATACTAAATGGTCACAGCGTTCAATTGTGAGGACAGGCAATGTTGTTTCCACTGTTTCTTCTAGTCTTATATTGTTTGCTTTACACAGCTCAGAAGTACTTTGCCCCTCATCTGAGAAAGACATTCAACAATACAAGTTATCAAAAACTAATGAAATAAGGGGAATAAGATTTAAGAGAATTAATACAGCAAAGTAGCTTGAAGGAAGTTCACATTTGAGAAGTCTGCTTCAAAAGATGGGGATATGCTAAGAGCCAGCACTCTTGATACACCTTTCCTCATTATTTCATTCTTTTTAGTAGTCTTCTTTCAAATACCTAAAGACAAAATCCAGAGAGCCTTGCTAGAGACTCAGAAGGATTTGGCAGAATGCCAGTGTTCATACACAAAAGTGGCTCAGAAAGTCATATTTCAATAACCCCTAAATTTCACTAAGTACCTTTCTGCTTAGCCTGAAAAATCCTTTGACACTTAAGTTATAACATAATCCAACAACAAGATGGAAAGGTATTTATGTTCCCAACGAATTTCTAATCCATTATGCATGCCCAGTTCATATGTGGGAAGTACTGCTAGCACTGAATTCAGCATTAGACAGAGACACCATGTCACTCTTTTAAACATCCAAAGATGAAAGTGACAGACATTTTAATTAATAACCAGAAATACAGCAGACTTTCTCTTTGGCTAGGACCCGTCCTGTTGAAGCTGGGCCACTGTGCAGCTAAGAATGCAACAGTCATGGGGCCAGAAAAAGAGCAAGCAAGGGAAACCAGATTTTCTCTTCTATAAAGAAAGTAAGCTCCTCTTGTTTGCCTTTGAGAGGACCTGGATGCAAAGCAAGTAACAAAAACAAGAGATTCCTAGAAGCTTCAAAGGTAACTAAGAAATGTGCATTCCACTTAGACAACGGATGAATCTGGAGGTACTGATTCTGTTCTCACTGAATTCTTGGGAAATTACTTCAGTAAAGAACACATACTTAAGAGCTGGCATCATGCAATGTTTTATAAGTGCACGCATAGGCTGAGACGTTCCTAGAGACACACATGCATAGTTTTCCCAGATATGCCAATTTCCACATCAGCTTCATATCAGCTTCAGTGAGAATTCCATGCCACAGCCTGAGATTTGTAACTCTGTTGTCTTTTACAATAAATTCTCTTGGTATGAAAAGCACACATTCAGTAACCCGTACCAACTAAAATATAACACGCATAGCATTCTAGAAGCGCTATCCTACCTAATTCTTGTCCAGACTTCCCCATCTTATTATAGAATTTCTCCTGTTCTTTTTTTAAGTTGATACGTGTCACACAACGGTAATTATGATCCCTGATTAAACTGAAGATCCAAAGCTGAAAGGAAAAGACAAAAGCAATTACAATATCCTTTTGACACTAAACATACAAGTTACATGCAATGTGAATATCAACTCAAGGTCCAATATTAAATACTGTTAATGTCACTAAGGAATTTATATATCTAGAATCTCACATTGGACCACAAATTGAATCACATGCACTTATATTTCAAGAGTATCAAAGGATAATTTCACCATTGGCAAAAGAAGTTACTACCAATTTGAACTGCATGTCTAATTTTCCCATTTGTGTCTTTGAAATAAATTCCTCATAGACTATTTCCTATAATAACTAAAAATAACAGGCAACCTGCATGTAATTGCTTATTTAGTCATATACATGCATTTATACCTTTCTTTTTTTTAGGCACTATCACAGTTAAATCTTTAATTTTCCTCACAATCCACCAAACTGTAACGCTGAAGGAAAACATCCCTTAAATACTATAGGAAAATCTCATTTAAATATATTAAAGTTAAAGTTAAAAGTAAAGAGGAGCTGAAATACATATTCACATTTATGACAGATTGCTAAGATTTCCAGCATGCTGAAATCATAATCTCTCCCATTTATTGTCATGGGTTTCACTCCTTGGCCAGAAAAGGAGAACTCTATGTTTACATTTTTTCTTTTAAAACACACATATTACGGCCTCTCAGTGTACACATATAACTTATCCAATTACTGACTGTGGTCTTAAAAACGTTCCTGGTTTTCAAAAGAATGTTTCCATTTTGTAATAGAGGCTGTGTTCTACACCATATATGATTGATACTCAAAATAGTGAATCACGCTTACTAAAATAATCTTAGTAACAATTCCAAATATGTATGAATATTGTGAAGCTTTCTGATAGATACATTAATAATACTTGACTGTTATACTATAGCGACTAAAACTTTCCTTGGTAATTCTTACCTGTCCATCAGCACATCCAGTGATAAGCTGCTTATTTTCTTCATCAATTAGCAGACTTAGCAAAGGAAATGCTGCTTCAAAAAAAAGATGTAATTATTTTCAGAGTAAACACAAATCAGGTATTTTATTAAAACACATGATTCCAAACTGTGATATACTATTTATAAAGACAGAAGGAAAGAAAAACCTTCCTGCAGTTCTCATGATTGCACAGTACTTTGGATGCTTTAGCTTTTGTATGGCTAAGGGCCTTCCAATTGCAATTCTGTAGCCTGCCTTTCACCTAAGTTGCCATGGCAGTGGTTTTCAGAGCTACTGTGGCAATATTTTTCCCTTGTAATTCCCATGCTGTTGTGCTCATGCTGTTATTCACATGGCCTTGGCCAATGCTTCTGTTACAGCAGGTTCTCATGGGAAGCAATGACCACGGGCATAAGACTCCCCCATTCTTCCACTCCTTTCCACTCATGTAGTTGTAGCTTTTAGTTATATTAGGCGATCCAGTAATATGTCTGCATAAAGCTTAACAGTCAGTCACCACGCAGCTCATGTCCTAACCAAAGCATGCGCCAAACAATGCTAACAGCATCGTAAGTAGGAACACCCAACATGGAGTTTGAGCAGGTCTCAATGGAAAACTATATAGTTACTGTAGGAAAAGTGTTACGGGAGAGGGTGTCTCTGCTGCTTTGGGGAAGACGCTGGCCTGGAGCCCCTGGTCACTTCTCTTCCCTGCTAGCCACTGGGCAGAGTTCTGCCTCTCCCTCCTCTCCTCTCCCTCTGTTCCTGTCTTTCCACAAAAGTAACTTTCACCATTACAGTCAATGTACACCGTCATCTACAGACCTGCTGATAAATCTACGTATGTTACACTTATGGTTTGCCCTTCCATATCACATAAAAAATTTGAAAGAAAACAAGCACAAAATGCTCAGACAGTGGAACTTTACCTGCAAAACAAAAGAGCTCCTATCTGCAAATCTCAGTAAAAGTCAATATTTATATGCATACTCCGTACCAAAAGAAGAGCTATTTATGAAAGTATATTAAAATTGTCTACACAAATATACATTCTAAAGGATAATATATCCATTACTGGCTTCAAGTTTGGTAACTTTGACACTGATGCCTTTTAGTGCCTAACAGAATTATTCTGACTAGACGAACTAAACATTTTTATAAAAATTGTATATTATTGTTTAGAGAGAATTTTTTCTTCTATGAAAAAGAATAGAATGAAAAGAAAATTTACCTGTTAATACTGCTGACTGGTGTACTAACAGGCCAGTAGAATAGTCCCAAACCTTTAGAAAAAAAAGTATGTTCGGACACTTAGATCTTTACAAAAAACATAAACTTCAAAGGCCATCAAGTGGTGAAGATACAGAAATGCAGCCATTAAAAGTGATCCAGCATTGCACGGATTTTTTTCAGCAGTTTATTTTTTTCCTATTTAAGGCTTTGTTTAATTTATAAGGACTCATAGAGGAAAAGGTGAAACCCACCTGGTATCGATACACAAAGTAGTCAGAAATACTTCTTATCATCTTTGCTTATGTTGATATCTTAGCAACTTAAGTTAAATCAATGTAAAGATAGATTTAAACTGGATCTAGATTTCACACAGGGAGCTTGCATGACTTCACAATTTTCATATTGAACCCAGTGATAAGTCCTTATTAGCAATTATGTTACTTATTTTGATCCATCAACTATCATTATCAACACGACTGTTCCTAAGTGATGTATTCTGTGCTTAATAGTTGATTAAGAAAGCTAATAAAAACAATTTTTTCCTCTCATGCTGCCACTTCTGTAAGCCTTCCTCTCTTTAACTTCTTCCACTACATATATCGTAGCTATCACAGCACAGATTGAAAGAATGACAGCCAGCTAGTCCCTTCTTTCTGAACGTGGTTGTGAGTCTTTCTATAGCTCCTGAGCTTTTCTCTTTGTTCACATTTCATTTGCTTCTGAATGTGAAAATCGTTATTCAGAACAGCTGTTTCCTAAGATTTTATTTCTCAAATTTATCTGAAGATATTCTTACTCCTGCTTCACTTCTTTTAGCCTAGTAAAAGGGCTGGGGCAATATAAGAAGGTTTTAGAGGCTACATGTCCAGCAATCACAGCAGCCAGCTACCACAGACTTATAGCACGGCTGACCTCAGAAAATTACCCCTAACCTGCAGAATAAGGGCAGGGCAAAGAAAACATGAAGACTCACTTACCACATTATTTAACTAACTTGTATATTATTTTCCTTTGACTGTCATTTTATTCCCACTTTTCATCTAGATAAAAAAACTTATTCATTGGCATTTTGTATAATTTATCAGGTCTTCATCAAATTAAAAACAAAAAGCATAAGAATCTTTTCCTTCAGTCATTTTTATTCTGATTTAATCTTTATGATCAATGTAAACTAAATCACATAAACAATCAATTAGAAAGTCAGAATTATCAGTACAGAACTATCTTCTCCTTTTTTTGTCCAAGACCAAGACAAAAATCAAAACAACATTTTCCCCAAAACAAAGACTTCCATAAAAATTGTATTTAAAAAAAAATATTTAATTTTGATACAGCAAGCTTGACGTGTACTTTAGCTTGTACAATCAAAGGTTGTACGGCAGTATCTCCTGGAAGACACACCTTGGTTCACCCACGCGCTCAACTGTCATCATGTAGAATAGGGGCAACCTATGGTGTCATCACATAAAATGTTGTGTGGCCAAAGACTTCTGCTAGTGAATGAATGGCAATAACCCAAATGAACTTTCCAATAAGATAAAATTCCAATAAATATCAGCAGACTCAAAGTCAAATGCTTTCAATTCAGTTCAATGTACTGGAGCATTTCAATTACAGCCACACTGACTAAACTATTTTATTTCTATGTGCCAGACCAAAAAAAATCACCAAAGTTAACATTTCTCTGAAGGAACTTTTAATTATACAAAATCTACACTGTTATTTAAAAAACATAGTAATTTTTATAGAAATTTCCCAGGCGACTCTATTAAGAACAATCTCCTGATCTCTATATTCAAACAATTTTTTGCTTAGCCTTCAGTAAGTATTTAAAGGGAAAAAGATAACTTTATTTCAAGAATTCACTAAATTAATTTCTTTAAAGTGCACCTCTACAGTTTCCTTGCCTTAAAGCTTCTATCTTCAGAAACTGATATAAGCATATTTTTCTCCCATGTGCAAAACTCAGCAGCAGTCACTGGAGCCAGGTGGCCTTCCAATTCAGCTAGTATAGCTTCATTCTGTCATTTGAAGGGTCAAAATAAAAACAGAGCAGATTTCAAACTAAAAAAACACTATTAGTTCATCTTTATAATAATTGATAAATATTGTTAAAAATAATGTCATATTTGGGTTCATCATATTAATTCAATATCATTTTTTAAAGCCAGCTGCAGCCCTGAATATCATTCTGCTGGCAAAAACACTACGCATAATACATCTGCTTCTTCAAATTGAATAACGTAGGAGAAATTTTTCAGATGTTCTTACAGTGTTCTCTACTTACAAGTTACTGAAATATCGTGTCACTTCCACTTTCTTAATCTAGTATTTTATCTGGTATAGGTTACATTATCAAGCATTTGCTCAAACTCACTTTCATCTATGTGAGAAGATGAATGTTTTTGCTTAATTATTCTCACATTTCTGTATTATGATTTTATCTGAAAGTGAACATGTTAAAGACATCCTAGTGCTATGACTACAAAGGACAATATCTCACCTTTGCACTTAACATGTAAATCCGCTTTCCAGCACATACTGCCACTTGTTGATCATCCGGACTAAATCTTACATGAAGCACCATTCCCAAAAGACTTCCTATAACAATTCCTCGAGGCGTTAAACCTGCAGCAATTTTGCTGTTATTATGACTCATCAAATTATTACTTTAGGTACTTTAACAGCTTTCAAATGAAAAGCATGTTTACAAATTTAGTTCCTGCATGACTATTACAGCAGCTTCTCAACCGCTAAAGATAAGCTGATCTCTTAATTTCAAACAAACTTATTCTTTTTGCCTCACACGTTAATGATTTCTTCTCATCTTCAAATTTACCACAGCTTAGCAAATACTTCTTCCAGGTAAATATACTAGCCACGAGGCACTAAATATATCAAAGCAAGGGGACTTTCCTTCTCTTGATTTTATTTCTTCTGTGGCAAACGGCTGAAAGAGCAAGTAAATCTCAGAAAATCATCTACACAGATGTATGATAAGACAAACTAACTTTGAGGAGAGGCTTTT